GAACCTTTTAGCTTTGTCTTTTAAATTTTTATTTATCGCATCAAAAACAAGTTAATGTAAAAATTCTCTCTCACCATGTGATCAATGGTTTCTAACATTCTGTGCCTTCCTTCCAGTCTTTGTGGATTCAGGATCCATAGTTTAAAGCAGGCCCTGCTGCCTCCAAGTCTTGTTTTGTAAGCAGAATCTCACTGACTCTAAAATGTTTGCTCATCCAAATAGTTGCAATGTGTTGTTATTGTTAGGTGCCATCGAGTTGGGACCGACTCATAGCGACCTTATGCACAGCAGAACGAAACACTGCCCGATCCTGGGCCAACCTCCCTATATGTCTATTTTTTGGTGCCATCTTTGCTTCGATTCCCAGCAGAATATATTGTTCTTTGGACTCCTGGTGTGGTGCTGTAGGATAAGTTCTTGACCATATGGTTGGTTTGAACTCAAGATTGGCGTTTCAAACTCACCAGCCGCTCCTTGGAAATCCTATATAGGGTTGCTATGAGTTGGAATTGACTCTATGGTACTTAAACAACAACAACAACATATTGTTCTTTATTAAAGACACTGAGCACCAAACAAGGTTTGTTCAGTGTTACGTAGTAATGATGCCTAATTAGTGACTGGGAGAATTGTTAATTCTATGTAAACAGTTGTGTGTTATAAGCTGCGTTAGGATTAAATACTGACTGCTTTGTAGGTTTTCGGGGCTTCATTTATGGCGTCAGAGGCCCTTCCGCGTGCCATAAATCAGAGGTCCTCAAATCTGCTGTGTGTCACAGAATCAGTGGGCAGGAATACACATTCCTGAGCCTTGTTGTCTTAGCTATGGTATTGGAGTCTGCCAGTCAGGTTTGTACACTTCTGATTAAAAGAATTTATTAAAAAATATGTAAAGATAAAGCTCTGGTAGCATAGTGGTTACAAATTGGGCTGTGAACCTCAGGATCAGCAGTTTGAAACTACCAGCTGTTCCGCGGGAGAAAGATGAGGCTTTCTGCTCCCGTGAAGATTTACCACCTCGGAAACGCTGTGCAGGGTCGCTGTGAGTCAGAACTGACTCCACGGCATATTACAACCACAACAACAAAGATAAAGCTAGATACCCAGGAAATAATACTTTGTAGCATCATCTGAAATTAATGTATCTCTTAGGGGTAAGCACATATAATGGGAAAAACATTGATAAAGGGAATGACAAGCCTGCCTAATATGTAGAGTGTACATAGGGGGCACATTTAATAGTGGGTCCAAGGAATACTGTAATTGTGATGAATGTCAGATTAATTTTTGATGATTGTACCTTTCTAAGGAGACCTTGCCGCACAGTGGTTAAAATGCTTGAATGCTAACCAAAATGTCAGTAGTTAGAACCCACCAGCTATGGGAACAATACTTACCAGTTTGTTTCCATAAAGATTTACAACCTTGGAAAGCCGATGGGGCCATTCTACCCTGTCCTATAGGGATGCTCCAAGTCAGAAGACTGTGGGCAGTCGGACTGGTTGGCTTACCTTTCTAGACCTGAAGACGCTTAAGCCTAGATTATAGACAGTGCCCGCGGGGCCCTGACAGGTAAGGTAAACAGGAGTGCTGAGGAATGTTGCCAACGGACAACTCCTGGCCCCTCTGACTGGACAGCCATAAATCAGTCATAACCTGTTGCCAAACCAAGCCCAGTATTTCTAGATCTTTCGGTTTTTAAGACAGCCTGGGACCCTGGATTTTTATGTTAAAATTTTTAAGTTTCAAAAATTTTAAATGTTGGCGTAATTAAAAACAACAACACTAAAAACTAAATAAAACACATCTTTGGGTTAGACTTGGCCCACCTGCCACCAATTTTCAGCCTTAGTTTTAGGACAGTGGGTTTCCAAGTGTCCTAGCACCAGCAGCCTCAACATTACCTGAGGCTGTCCTAGAAATGGCCGATCCTATCTCAGACCTGTTGAATCAGATTCTCCAGGGGTAAAGCACAATAGTTTTTATTTTAACAAGTTCTGTGGAGAATTCTTTGGAATTCTGGTGTGGCACTAAAGGATAAGCACTGGACTGCTAACCTGCAAGGTTGGCAGTTCAAACCCATCAGCTGCTCCTCAGAAACCCTATGAGGAGGAGGAACACTGCTATTATTGTTAAGTGCCCTCCATTTGGTTTCAACTCCTAGGGTTTCTGAGGAGTGTGGTGGGTTTGGACCACCAACCTTGTGGTTACCAGTCTGGTGCTTTTTCTATAGCGCCACACCAGGACTCCAGGAACCGACTAGACAGCCACTTTAAGCACAGCAAAAACAAGTGGTTAATTCTGATACCCACTCAACTTTGAGAATCACTGTTTCAGACTATTAAAGTTTATATAGCAATTTCTATCTGGAGATAGTGATAATGATAAAAGTTAATACTTTTTTTTTGTACATTTATCAGTTATGTTTATGTGTAAAAATACATCAGATGTACATTGTTTTAACATATATATGTCCTTTTAGTGACTGAATTTTGCCAGAATCAAACACACAATGATTAAATTTAGGGTTTTGTTTCTTTTCTTTTTGTTGTTAAGAGTATTACAAATCTCCTTATTAGTAATGCTGTTCCACATTTTGACTTCACTTGAACATATTATGGGAGTCCTGGTGTGGTGTTGTGGGCTAATGCGTCAGACTGCAAAGCTAATGCACCAGCTGCTCCTTGGAAACCCTATACAGGGTCGCTATGGGTCAGAACCAACTTGATGACACTCAACAACAACATAGCATATTGTAAGGAGCTCTGGTAGCGTAGTGGTTACGAATCGGGCTGCTAATCTCACGGTCATCAGTTTGAAACTACCAGCTGTTCCACAGGAGAAAGATGAGACTTTCTGCTCCTGTAAAGATTTACAGCCTCGGAAACCCTATCCAGGGTTACTATGAGTCAGAATCGATTCCATGGCATATAACAACAACAACAACTACAGGAAAAAGCAAGTTGTTTGCCAGGGAGCCTTCAAGGCAAGCAATCAAGTCCCTTCAGGACAAACTCCCCTCCAAGATTGAAACTCAAAGGGAACACACAAGCAGGCGTGTAAGCTTGCTGGTGACCACATTGGTCTACTGGTGAGTGGAAGTGGGGAAAAGGCAGCAATGAAGATGTGGGCTGAATTCGATCATGTACCATATACTTCTGTCGACCTGGAGACGAGAGAGAGAAGTATGGTTGGTCTGTCGTATGGTGAGACCTGGGGACTACTGAGCCCATGGACAAGGACATAGCCATGGAGGGCTAGAGCTGAGAGTGAAGCGTTCAGCTGATATGAAATGAGGGGACATGCACAAGAATACCCAAACTTGCAGGTAGTACCCATTTGACGTATCTTCGATGGCTTGATGATCCGAACTTGACTAGAAGAAGAAGAAAAAAAAATTTTGATAAAGGAACCACGTGTAAATTGCTATAATTTGATGAACTTGACCTATATTTATGGATGTAGTAGCTCAAAATACCAGCTGAGAGAGAAGGAGCAGCCCTATCCCTTCTGTACCCAGGGTTGATAGGGACGGGCAACTTAGACATGGGCTACTTAAAATGTGTGTGTGGGGGGGGGGGGGGGTGGCAATAAAGGTATGAAGTGACTGGCTTACATGTTTTCAAGAGGGAGTTTAGTTTCAGAGTGTGCGGAGGAAGGTAGAACCCCCAGTGAATAGTTGTCATCTTGTCTAGATGGGTCTGGTAACAGGAGATGGGGATAAGATTCTTATGATTCGAAAGTAAATCATTGTTTTCATGACTAATTGCTATTGTCACAACTGTAAAGGTAGAAGTTTTGTAACAAAACCGTATAGACCCTAGGATCATCAAGGGAAAAGAGCATGAGTGGAATGTTGGCCCTGTCCAGAGAAGCAGCGACACTAGAGATGGAGGCAGAGATGAAGATATGGAAAGATAGAGCAGCTGAGGACTCCAGACTCATGAAAAGATTAAGGCTGTGTGCGGCAGCCAGTGGCAGGCTTGCAAAATGTGCCCTTTGGTTGGTTGTTTAAATGATTATATGTTCCTGAGTGTTTTTATATACATTAAAAAAACCAAAACACAACCCAAAAAACAGTGGGAATAGAAGCAAATACTGTTGAATGATGATGTGTAGAGAAGATTGTAATCATTGCAATGAAATGAAATATGATAGGATGAGTGTAAAACTGTTGTTCTCCCATGTAAACTATCACTCATTTCACAATAAAAACTTAAAATAAATATTACTTCCTGAAGTTTCACGTCTCTTCTTTAAAAGTATTACATGTGATACATTTTAAAAATGAGGACTACTCTCTGTTTATCAGATTTTTCAAAATCGAGTTCTGTTTGCTGGAAATAGGAATTCCATTTCTAATTACCTTGTTTTTATATGAAAAGTAAAGGCTGGCATGTATGGCTCCATGTAAGCCTGGTGTCCTCAAGCTGGTCAGGTTGTTTATATTTTGATGCCCATGTATGCAAATATTTCCCTTCCTTATTGACTTGTAGAAATGCTTGCTGTATTGATTGAGGGACTTAAATGTCTACTGTTTGCATGTAGTCCTGGTGTGGCACTGTGGGATAAATCACTGGACTGCACGGTCGGTTTGAGCCACAAGGTCGGCGATTCAAACTTACCAGTCATTCCTTGGAAACCCTATACAAGGTTGCTGTGAGTCAGAACCGACTCTACGGCACTCAACAACAACAACTGTTTGCATAACCCAACCTTTAACATATTTGTTCATTTCAAAGTATCTGACTAATCACATTAATTACGACTGTTACATATAAATAATTTTCTTGAATTTATAGATATACGAAAAATGTTCTTCACTTATTGTGAGAAAACTTCATGCATGTTTTATATGACAAAATCTTTAAAGCATACTGTAGCATGTTTAAAATGCTGAGATAAACTGAGAAGTTAAAGAATATTAGATTTAAAAGCGGAATTCATCTCCTTGTGTTTACAAATAATGTTTATTAATGAAAATCCACTTGTATTCACAGGGTAAACCAGACTTGAATACAACATTGCCGATTAGACAAACAGCGTCAATTTTTAAACAACCTGTCACCAAAGTCACAAATCATCCTAATAATAAAGTGAAATCAGATCCACAGAGAATGAATGAACAGCCACGTCAGGTAAGGGTCTACTGGTTTTCCAATCTTATTTTTCAGAACACACTGGTATTTTTTTCCAGATAACTCTGGTAAAAACAGGAATATATTTAAAACAAAAAATGATTTGCTGTTCTACATCATTTGTGATTACAGGAGAATAGGATAATCTAAAACTTAGACAAAGTGTTTTAAGAAAAAATTAATGTTAATTAAAAACTGAATTAATTTAACATGGACTATACATTTATTTAAAGGAGCTCTGGTAGCATAGTGGTTACGAATCGGGCTGCAAACCATAAGGTCAGCAGTTCGAAACTACCAGCCGCTCCGCGGGAGAAAGATGAGGCGTTCTGCTCCCGTAAGGATTTACACCCTCGGAAACCCTGTACAGGGTCGCTATGGGTCGGAACCGACTCGATGGCACTTAACAACAACAACAACATACATTTATTATTTTGTGTGATAATGTATATCATACTTGGTTCTGTTAATTTTCAGTTTTCTAAAGATGGCTCTTTCAAAGGATAATATTATAGATGAATGAAGCATGCAGTTTGCGTTGCATAGTTTGAGTTATTTTCTGTTCTGATTTCTTAGTCCATGAAATCTGTCCCTACCTACCCTTTTGAAAAACAGAATTGGATGAAGTTTGTCAATATTGCCCTTTATTATTGTACAAATTAAACTTATTTATTTTTTTCTTTATTGCTTTAAGCTGTATTCCACCCATATTTTTTCTTAGGAAAGAAAGAAAAAAAAAATTACCAGCAAGGCCTTCCAGCTGGGAATAATGTCACACAGCCAGGGAAGGGAAACTTGACAAAATGCATAAATCGTCCCAGTAATCTTGCTTATTCATTCCTGAACTGTGTTCATAAAGTTTAGGTGCTTGGTGAATCTTTAGTAGTGTTTGGGGTGTGGGAGTGGGTGGAGAGACATTGGTGCTCTTTTATTTCTCTCTGCTTTTCTGCCTCCTCCATTGAAGGATTAAAAATACTGATTTATCCACAGAGGTTGTCTTTTGCTCTCATAGCCTCCATTTAGATATTGCAGTCCACCTTTCCATTTACATTTCCTTTTCAGTAAGTTCCTCAAGTGTCATCTCTAGACTTCATAACAGATTGGGCCAACACTTTAGAAGAAATTACATAAGGAAATTCAGTTCCCACATCCTCTGTAGTGTTTTTTCCTCTTCAGGTGAGCCAGGAAAACAGAAGATAGTTGGAGCCACATTGTATCAGCATCTTGCTATAGATGCCTCAAGATTTGAAGTTCTAAACTTGCTTTACTACTGGTCCCAAAGAGGTTCAACAGGGCCATGGAAGTGTATCACATCCACTCTGAAAGATGTGTACCTACATGTGCCTTTTAGGTTCTTGTCATCACTTAGGTTTTCTTTGGGCCATTCAACTTTCTGTGTGAGGTTTTCCCCGTCTGTTTCCCTCTTCTACCTAGTGACAGTCCGTAAACCCTCAGGAGTTGTAGCATCGACACTATACTAGGAAGCAAATTCTGTCATTCTGAACTTAGCTCACCTTGAGAAGGCCTTCCCATGGTTGTATTCTTTTGCAAATACTGTCAGAAATCTTGAACAGCTTTGTCTTTTGAATTTTTGGCGATTTAAAAATCATTTCCTCATGAAAAATTTTAAATTAATTTTTATGGTTGAAAACATGTAATTGGATAAGATAGGTTGCTTTAAAATGTCGCAAAGAGAAAGCAAGTGGAATATAATCTTTGAAAGCACTACTCTATATGGGAATCGCGAGTTGTCTTACTGAGCACAGAGAGTAGTTAATAGATTTTATCATCGTCTCTTCTTTGCCAAATCATTATCAATGCAGTCTATGAGCCCACAGCTTAAAGACCAATTGAGTAGCAAGTTTCACACATTTTAGCAGTAATTTATTTTCTGTATGTAAATCCAGTTACAGATTTTTAAAAACTGTAGCCATTATATTTACTAGTTGTCTGTGGCGCTGTAGGATAAGCACTAGATCTTAAAGTCGGTTTGATCTGCAAGGTTGTTGGTTCAAACTCATCAGCTGCTCCTATGAGACGTTGGTTCAAACCTATCAGCGTCACTATGAGTCAGAACTGACTCGACGACATTTAACAACAACCACCTAGCTATAGATACATTGGTAACTTTATATATTGAAATAACTAGAGTTACTCCTGTTGTTCACATCGACCTTGCAGTCTAGTGCATTCGCCTGCATTAAAGAGGAGTTTCGTTTTCCCCCCTTTTATTAAGAGAGCCTTCTCAAATGAGAAGAATATTTCAAAGAATGAAGTCCCATTCCTTTGTACTTTCCAGAAAACTTAGGCCATTTTAGTCCAGATCTTCTGGAGATTTAATCTTCCTTTTAGCTTATATGGACAGGGGGTGTTAAAGGTATTCAGCAGGTTCCTTCTCTGAATGCTTGAGCTGTTTTTCTCTTTATCCTTCTGTCACCTGACAAGTTGTGCTGGATGCTTTTGCTGTACTAAGTCCTTGTTGTCTTTCCCCTTCTCTATCTCCCAGATAAGAATTGAAGGAACACTTGATTACTTTCTCACCAGTAGGACCTGTCATTATTCAAGAGTACATTCTGCAAATGGAGGAAATAGTAGGGAGACAATTTTCCTTGCTATTAATGTTTTAAAATCATGAGCTATCATCCCAATTGTGCCAATCTGGATTTGGGTTTTTAAGCAAAGGTATTGGTTTCAATTCTGTTTTGACAGAATTGCTAATGAGCTTTTAGGTTGTTGTTGTTGTTGTATGCCGTTGAGTCACTTCTGACTCATACCAACCGTTTCCAAGAGCAGCTGGTGGATTTGAACTCCTGACATTGAGGCTCCCAGTCTAGTTTTTACCCTACAGCATTACACCAGGTTATTAACGGTAGTTGGCAAAAATTCAGAGGCTAAAGTGACTTTTTTGATGTTGCTACATTTTGCTTAGATTTACTGAATTAGAAATGGAATTAGATTGGGAATTTAAATTGCCAAATAAGATATTCCTTGCAAAGCATTTATGTTTGAGGACTAGAACTAGGTTTCTGGATCTTAATCTAAGCTGTGTCTCGAAAAGGTGTGATTAAATGAGTAGCACTCTAATAAGTAAATAATTATGCCTTGTGTAATGAACATCTGATGCCTGGTTGTTATAAAGCAGCCTAATTTGAATTTTCTAAAATATACAAATGAGTAATGTCTAATGTCCTGATTTCTTTGTAATAACTTAGCTTTAAAGATGCAAATTATCATACGTGAAAGAAAATGTCTTTTAAACAGAATTCAGCAGAGATTTCTGCCTATAACGTAGTGGTTACGAATCGGGCTGTGAACCACAAGGTCAGCAGTTTGAAAATACCAGCCGCTCCGCGGGAGAAAGATGAGGCTTTCCGCTCCTGTACAGATTTACAGCCTCGGAAACCCTATACAGGGTCGCTATGGGTCGGAACCGACTCGACGGCACTTAACAACAACAACAACAATATAAACTATAAGGTAGAGATGGGAGTTGTAAAACCTTTTGATTGTTTTGTTATTGCTAAGTGCCATCAAGTCAGTTGTGACTTGCAGTGACCCTATATAGGGCTCCCAAGGAGCAGCTGATTAGCCATACAGTGTTTACCCTACAGCTCCACAATATGGATTTATATACTGTTAGCATGTTTTACTAGATCAGAAACCAAACCTGCAGCTGGTAGAGATGGAATTCCACCAACTATCAGACTCTGTTAGTCCAAACAGCAGGTTCATCAGCATGACCCTCATCAGACAAACACATAAAGCACATCCAAGACTATTGTTAATCTAATTGAATTGTGATGTTGCGGTAAGTAATGGGTATCTTTCTTAGCTTACTCCTTTCAATACATGAAGAACTTACACTTCTGTTTCTTTCTTTGTTCTTTGATGCTGTCATCGTAGATACATTCTGACCTCTTGACGATAGCGTTCTCTCTTTTTCCCTCAAAGCAACGAAGCCTAATCCTTGAAATATGACTTCTTGCTTTTCTCCTTGAAATATGACTTCTTGCTTTTAATTATTAGGTTATAGCGTACTGTAGGTGTTTTTTATAGTCTTGGAAACTAGTTGCAGTTCTTATAGAATATTTACTTTTTGCTGGGAGTAAAATTTTAAAGTTATTGAAAAAGGGGTTTGAATAGTGCATGTAAATCTAGATATTTTTCCTTTATGGCTTACGAATTCTCCTTTCAAAAGGTAGGAATCTTCCTTTACTTCCTTCCAGAAGTCAACCTTTTCTTCTAGAATAACTCTTTTAAAATATATTATAAGAAACTTCACAAATGAATGGTACCATTTTAAAACGGGTGCATTTTGAAGACATTGTTGTATGCAAAGCTTGTAAAAGATTTCATTATTCACTTATTGTCACCTAGAACATCACTGTTTATTCCAGAAATTTCAGCATTTCCTTCCTTCTGATCTCTGGCAGTTATTTCAGAATGGTCTCACTATATTTTGATGATTGAGAAAGGCGTACACTTGACCACCGAGTCTCACAGAAGACTCTTCTCTGGACAGACAAATATACTGGCAGGGGAAGGAAGGAGGGGTCAAGACAGCCTTGAGGTTTCTAGTTTGTTTGAGTCCATAGATGACATGTTGTTGTAAGCTACTGAAAAGCATTATTCTACTGATGGGGGAAAGATGGTATACAAATGTGTCAAATACATGGCCTAGACTGGTGCTTTCGATGTTCAAGAAGGGCCAGGTGACTGTGGCTAGGAGGTCTGCAGGGCGGAATCTTTAGGAAAGATATGAGGCAGATGCTAGACTGTGAAGCGGGAGCCGATGATGGTTCACGCTGTCAAGGGTTGCCGTAGAGTCATCTTAAAGGAATTGTAAAAAATGTTATCATTTGGGACAGACAAAGCAAAACCAAAAACCTCATGATTTCTTCCCTTCTGTACAGCCACAAGAGCGTATTCATTTAGAATTTGAGATATTTTCTTTCAGTGTTTGTAATGCAGGAGACTTGGTGGCACAATGGCTAAATCAC